ATAGCTATTCTACAATAATAGAAAAAACTGCGAATACTGACGTAAGCACATTGTTACAATAAAACTTTTGTCTGAGCCGATCACCTTAGTTGAGTCCAATAAATTTTGTACGTGATTACTCCCGTGTTTATGTACAGAAATATGTATCAGTATAACCAACATAAATGGGCCCACCCTTAGATTATGACATACTTCTTCCCTGGTTACGACTTCTCAGTTGCCACCATTTGAACACGTGTAAAATGAAAAATTTCTCAGAAATAATTATTTTTCAAAATTAGCGTTTCTTTTAGTGTTGAATGTATCTAGGTCTAATTCATGACTATTAATGTGTGGTAAACGAAACTGGAATTTGCAATCTGAAAGCACGTTATGCTGACGTGGACTAAGAGACCAAGTCACAGAGTGCTACAGGCTTTCTATACTTTTGATCAGAAGAGATGCAGATAAACAGAACCACTCGGCGCCAAAAAGACTTTGTCCGGTTCTTTGAACCGAATAACGGGACTGATTTTTACTTGTAAAGCACCCATATCTGATAGTGCGAATCGTCTCCAGCGACATCATGACCCGAGCCACAGACTCGTCGATTCGCAGCTACTAGGCCACCCCCAACCCTTAGTTTACCAAAATCTCATTGAGATATATAATACTGTGGTATGATGTACGACCAGAAAATGACATTTCACATTGTAAACGTATCAAAATGATAATTACGATTAAACATATGGTTTAACCTAAGCAACTTCTTTGTTATATAGTAAACAATTGACAACGGTGGTTATACAGTTAACAAAAATAAAGATTATTAAAACAATGTGCATTAAAAGAAAAACAAATAATACAATATACTTTAGAATAAACATAAATAAAAAACATGCACTCACATAAAAATAATTGAAATTGTGTATAGAAATAAAATGAATAAGACAATTTACTTCAATAACTAATAAATTGTATATAAAAGCTTTCACTGATCGCGAATCATGTGCCATTTATTTTGAGCACGATCCAAAGATTATGGCATAATTTGAACCAAATTAAATTATTGCTATAGGAACTAGATATAATTTTCTTTGACAACAAGGAGTTGCCGTCCATTCTAGTTTACTCATCGTAGATTTAATTTTGTTTTTAGTAACAAATCCTTTAGTACAAAGCTAACAGCTTTCGTAATCCACGTGGATATTCGTTTTCTGAGGAACTGTTTGGATGTGAATCTAATGGAATTTTGAGAAAAGAATGTTGAAAGTCATTTGTTCTGATACTGAGTGAACAATTACAATGACAGAAGAACTACAGTAGTCCATTACTTTAAAAAGAATGTGACACAAATTGAAAATGCCATTATATTTCCTGTGGATTTCAGATCAGTTTCGCTATCGTTATCTATGACTTTCAAAGTCTGTTTGTTTGAAGTTAAGCGCAAAGCTACGCAATGGGTTATCTGTGCTCTGCCCACCACGGGTATCGAAACCTGGTTTCTAACGTTGTAAGACCGCAGACATACCGTTGTGCCATTGGGGGGCAACTTTTAAAGTCGATACAATATTTCGTGACAAACGAAGGCTATTTGTAAGGCGCGATAAGGCTATCACATCGAAATTTCTAGAACATGGTGTCACATTTTACGAAGCTACAAAGCTACTATTAAGAACAATAACCCAACAGTGCTTGGCCCGTGCGTTTACGGGATGGGTGTCTGTAGAAATTGAAGCGCTTGATAAAACAAAAATAAGGGAGCCGCATTAATTGAGACTAGAGCTGTTTTACCTGAACATTTACGATGAAAAACAATTATTTAAAAGTTTAGGTTCAACTGAATTATACAACAGTAGTTTATGTCAGCTTACATACAGTTGAAGGTTGATAATATACATCGTTTCTTGTTTGTTTGTAGTTAAGCACAAAGCTACACAATGAACTATCCGTGCTCTGCCCACCACTAACCCGGTTTCTAGGGTTGTAAGTCCGCAGACATACCGCTGTGCCACGGTCTACATAGAAGGAGTACTTTTAGGATGATCATTGCGAAGTACAAAGCATACATAGTGTGTGTACTATGTAAACTTTTTACATAATGATTCACAAGGTGAGGCTGGCGTAATAAGATATAAGACTATATAAAGTGTAGTTCCCCCGGTGGCTCAGCGATGAATGTGAGGGTTTATAATGCAAAAAGTTTGGAGTTCGATTCCTGCAAAGGACAGATCCCAACTCGCCCATTCACCTTTGCACAGGAGTATGTAAACCTAATATATTCTATATTCAGTCTTATACAACTAGATGATTAAATTTTTTAATTCAATTATCTAAGCAGTTTATTTTCTGCAATACCAAATAACAGAAAACGTTTTAAAAATGTAATTAATAAATGTGGGTAGTTTTTCTTTTTTCTTTGGGTCTCAGAATTTTTTCAATCAATTTTTTCACCTTCTACACAACATCAAAACATAATGTGAGGATTCTCTGATTCTTTGTAATTTGAAGCAAAAATATATAAAACGTGAATGAATATTGAACTTGCTACTATATCACTTAGCATATGACTAAACAGCGTTGAGCATAAAAAGAATTCTTTAAAAATAGAAGCTTGTATTTGTCTTACAAATTTAGACTGACAGACCAGAAGACACTGAAGCTTTGCTAATCTTACTTTTCTTTCTCAGAGATGGAACCATCCATTTCCTACTCAAAATCATTTCATTTCTCTCCCAACTGAATTAAACGGTTAATCCTGAGTTTCTGCTAGTAAGTCACCTTCTCACCAATCCCAGCTACAACACCCCCCTCCTTACAAACAAGGTTGTCCTCGAGTCTAATTTCTAGGTCATGAAAAAGCCTCAATTTGTGCATTACTTTTTCTGTGCTAATTTAATTCAAACTACCACATTCCTCCCCTCTCGTAAAAAGGCTTGTCCTCGTATCTCTCTCACAATCAATGCTTGTTCTCGAGTCTGTCTCACAAACAAGGTTTGTACTTGAGTTTAATATAAGGGTCATGTTTTACGTTTGGTTTGGTTGTTGTTAAGTGCAAAGCTACACAATGAGTTATCTATGATCTACTCACCTTGGGTATCTAAATCTGATTTTTAGCGTCTTAAGCCAGCAGACTTATTGCTGAGCCACTAACATGCTATATCAGATGATAATTTTTCTTTAGTAATTTCTTTTTTTTTATCTCCAGGGATTGAACCAGCATCTCTCGCATGCTAAAAGATAAAAGGTTAACCTCTTGTTATAATAGCTTAACAATAACTCATTTTAACAATGGAGAAATACTAGAATAATAAAAACTAAATCTTAAAATAGAGGACTACTATTAAGTTTCAGTAATTCACTAAAACTATTTAAGCCTTGTCAAATGATTTAATATATGGAAGAAACATACTAAATGTCATAAAATTTCTACTATGTAACCAAGAAAGAGAAAAACCAACAGTTAATAAGTAACTTAAAGAAGTTCATTGGCTGTTTACTTAGATCTTTTTTCACACTGAATATTTTTTATGCACATGCACTGAGGATAGTTGGTGTTCTGTCATGAATTACATGTTAAAGTTTTAAAATACAAATAATTTTTGATAGAAATAAAAAAAATCAATGTACGTAAAGATGCATTACACTCTTTGAGAAAATAGAATTCCTTGTTATTATTCTAGCACTCTAGTACTCATTACTAGGTACCATTCTTCTGGTGGCTTTCATTCAGAAGGTCCAAGAGTACTCATTACTAGGTGCCATTCTTCTAGTGGCTTCCATTCAGAAGGTCCAAGGGTACTCATTACTAGTTGCCATTCTTCTGGTGGCTTTCATTCAGAAGGTCCAAGATTACGCATTACTAGGTGCCATTCTTCTGGTGGCTTTCATTCAGAAGGTCCAAGATTACGCATTACTGGGTGCCATTCTTCTGGTGGCTTTCATTCAGAAGGTCCAAGATTACGCATTACTGGGTGCCATTCTTATGGTGGCTTCCATTCAGAAGGTCCAAGATTATGCATTACTAGGTACCATTCTTCTGGTGGCTTTCATTCAGAAGGTCCAAGATTATGCATTACTAGGTACCATTCTTCTGGTGGCTTTCATTCAGAAGGTCCAAGAGTACTCATTATTAGGTGCCATTCATCTGGTGGCTTTCATTCAGAAGGTCCAAGAGTACTCATTACTTGTTGCCATTCTTCTGGTCAGCAGCTCTTAATGAGAGATGACTGTCTGAATCTTGGGAAATCTGACTTGGCTATCTAGCCCATGTTGCACATAAGACATCGTATAGAATCTATAGATTGAAATATCAAAGACAACCTTACACATACATATATTCTATTTATCTTTATTGGATTTTCTAGCACTTCTTGGTCTTAGATAACGTAAAGATGCATTTACTTCTCTATTACACGCTTAATCTAACAACTTCCTACCTATTGACAGTAAGTGTTATATTAACCAAAATAATAATAATAATAAACACTCATCTTTTCATTTGAAATATGTTTATTCTTAAACAAAACGCTTTTCGGTCGACTTATTTTATCCTAAATAATAGATTTAACTCAAAAGGGGAAATTATAAGGAAATTTCCATAATAATGGCTTTGCACCACTGTATTCATAGAATACGTGACGCAGTAGAGTGAACTCAACAAATCCTCTAATTAATGAAGAAAGGAGCGAGTGTGAAGGTGTAAAATTCAAAACGAATAAACAATCGAACTTCATACTATAGCAATGACACATTTTCTTTTCAATTGAGATCATTTTATAGGAACTAGTAAATAGTCAGGATTCGAGTAATTGTTCTTATAGTGTTCTATCTAACTCTTTCTTTCCAACAGATAATACTTCAATGATATTCTAAACAGTGTAAAAGTGGAATTATTCAAATAAATGTCCATAATATAAAAGACGAAAATTATAAAGTCTTCATGAACTCATCACGTTCTTAATCTGAAGATTTTTGTTTAATTCCCAACTTCTTTTAATTAGACAATCGTTGTTTTGCAGAAACTCTTCATAAACATGGCAGAACAGGAATCTTACCAGATAGCGTGTATAAAAGAAGATCTCGGAGGAGTAACTAAATCAAATCGTGAACTGAATAAAGACGAAGACAATCTACACAGTCTGATGTGTTGCAGTTTTCGACGTCAAACTACGAACAAACCACGTGATCCTACACGTCGCATTCTGACATTTACTGGCATGGTTTGTCTTGTCTGCACTTTTGTTGTTATTGGAATAGTAATAATTGCTGTATTATTGTCTAAACTTACAAAAGCTGATAAACCCTTCACAAAGCCATTAGACATCGTTTCCATTGTTCCTAAACCCCAGAACTTTGTCGACCGCAAGCGAACTATTCTGGTACATCGACAAAACATAATCCTCTGGAAACGCCAAGTTACTCAACTAGATAACCTACTCAAGAAATATGAAGAACAGTATTATAAACCACCCTCTTGCCAGATACGAGAAGAAAATAATTGTTCCTCTCTAACTGAACTAATTGGTTTAAATTGTTCAATCGAAAATAATTTCGGATATGACAAAGGATATCCTTGTGTAGCATTGATTTTTACAAAAGTTCCAGAATGGGTACCTAAGCCTTTTGTAAACATATCCAGGAGCAAGATTCCTCAAAAATTCGCAAAGAAATATGACCCTAAGCTATTATATTTAACGTGTGAAAGAGAACACGTTGAAGATAATCTTCAAATTATATTTTCCCCACTTCAAGGGTTTCGAAGAAGTGAATTCTCTGCAAAGTCTGAGTCTTTACCATTAGTCATGTTACAGTTCTTTAATCTACCAATCGCAACAGACATTCATATAATCTGTCGTTTGTGGGCCGAGAATTTGAAAACGGACAACCAGGGGGTAGTGCCGTCAAAAATCCAGTTTAGTTTATTAATTATTTAAATATAAAAGCAATAGTCTAGAATATAGTATCTTAAACTAAGGTATATTTGGTAGCAAAAAAAGAAAAATTAAACTCGCGTGAAGCATTGCAGTACACAACTATCCTTGACCAGTTATGTGCGACTAGTTTAACCAATCATTTGTGACTAGCTATTCAATAATGTGAATACATAACCAATCATATGTGACTAGCTATTCAATAATATGAATACATAACTAATCATTTGTGACTAGCTATTCAATAATGTGAACACATAACCAATCATATGTGACTAGCTAGTCAATCATATATGAATAACAAACCAATTATTTGTGACTAGATATTCAATAATGTGAATACATAACCAATCATATGTGACTAGCTAATCAATAATGTGAAAACATAAACAATCATATGTGACTAGCTAATCAGTAATGTGAAAACATAACCAATCATATGTGACTAGCTAGTCAATCATGTGTGCCCAACTAGCCAGTCATATGTAATTAGTTTCATGAGACTTGAAATCTTAAAGGTCAAATATTCGTGTGTGTGTTTACTTAAAGGTCAAGTAAACGTGTGTGTGTATGTGTTTACTTAAAGGTCAAGTCTTCGCGTGTGTGTATGTGTTTACTTAAAGGTCAAGTCTTCGCGTGTTAGTATGTGTTTACTTAAAGGTTCAGTTCTTCGTGTATGTGTGTGCGTATGTGTTTACTTAAAGGTCAAGTCTTCGTGTGTGTGTATGTGTTTTCGGCTTTAGGTATTTGTTTATTTTTCTCATTCTAAGTGCATTTTTTTAAAAATTACAGATCAAGAGGTGTACCTTTATGTGTGTTTAGGTCAAACATTTATCAAAGCTTGTTTTGACTGAAATATTTGTTGGTAGACACAACCCTCTGTAATTTCTTAACGTACTAGTTTATTCAGTTAGGTCAAAATGTGACAGAACATTTGCCATTATTATTTCATTTGGTTAGGCCGAAGTGTGGCAATACATTCTGCATTATTAGTTAATTAGGTTGAAGTGTGGCAATACATTCTGCATTATTAGTTAATTAGGACGAAGTGTGGCAATACATTCTGTATTATTAGTTAATTAGGTCTAAGTGTGGCAATACATTCTGCATTATTAGTTAATTAGGACGAAGTGTGGCAATACATTCTGCATTATTAGTTAATTAGGACGAAGTGTGGCAATACATTCTGCATTATTAGTTAATTAGGTCTAAGTGTGGTAATACATTCTGCATTATTAGTTAATTAGGTCTAAGTGTGGCAATACATTCTGCATTATTAGTTAATTAGATTGAAGTGTGGCAATACATTCTGCATTATTAGTTAATTAGGTCTAAGTGTGGCAATACATTCTGCATTATTAGTTAATTAGGACGAAGTGTGGCAATACATTCTGCATTATTAATTAATTAGGACGAAGTGTGGCAAAGTTTCAAGGCTAAAACTATAAGAAACGGTTTATTTTCACTTCATACGGAACGGTACTTACTCTTCCCATTACCATGTGCTAATGATGTCTAACATGGCATGCATCTATTCTTGATAACAGAGCTGTGAATATACATATTTATATATATTCCAGGAACAATCATCTTAACTTCTTATATCTAAATGGATAAAATATTTTTCTTTCATGCATGTTCGAAATGAATGAAAAAATCTGAGATTTTTTCCTTCGTCTGTTTTTGGAACAAAGCCACATTGAACGGGAATTGAACTCCGGACTTTAGCGTTCTAAGTCCATAGACTTACCGTTGTCCCACTGTATCTTGCAATGCTTTTCGCTTCACATCGTATGGTTGCTGTATTAAAGCTTAAAGTATTTTGAATATGAACTTTAGGAAGAAAGATGGGATCTTGTACATATAGGTTATTTCGCTGTGACATTACAGCACTTAGACTGTTCTGCTCTACTCGTCGGAAGCAAACCCTTGATTTGTATATGTTAACGATATTAATGTACTTTTGCTTAGAATTTAAGATTAAATTAATTCGATTTTTTTGTAAATAATGTGTTACAAACTAGGTATTTTCAAGAATTTATATATATATATTATATACGTATATCAGTTCACTCTGAAACTATTTGTATCTATGGTGAGAACTGTGTTTCTGTTTTCCGTAGTTTTCACCTTAAGTCACTTTTGCATATTTATTTTCGTCTACTTGATTATTTTATGTATACGTTTAATGCTGTCGCAAACGGTAGCGCTATCTAATGAACAGTGTTTTACCGCTAACGGGAGCAACCTAAAATTTTTGGTATTGTTTATTAATTGGTTTAATTATATCACGATGAGAACATTTTGCTCGTGGACTATCTAGTTTAGTAGACATGTAGAACATAAATTTACAGTAGAGTCATTTCGAAACCACATATCAAATAAGGTAAATTTTGCACTAACATGAACGTTCTCTATCAATATATTTTATTGAATAGAAAATAGAATAGTACGAGATCTAACAATGAATCGGAACAGAAATATGAACTTATAAGTACCTGCAAAGAAAGTCAGTTTTATTGTATTTGTTAACGTAATTGATACGTGAATCATGTTTTATTGTATTTGTTAGCGTAATTGATACGTGAATCATGTTTTATTGTATTTGTTAACGTAATTGATACGTGAATCATGTTTTATTGTATTTGTTAACGTAATTGATACGTGAATCATGTTTTATTGTATTTGTTAATGTAATTGATACGCCAAATACAATAAAACATGATTCACGTATCAATTACATTAAAATTGAGATATGAATCATAGCATGATTATAATACTACTGTTGATACCTGTTCTGTATTCACACCTCTCCCCTAACTTTATATTATAAGATAAAGTTGTAGAACAATTTCTTTCAAATGTTATTGTCAAATTACGAAAAAAGTTATATGTTGTGAATTTTATTGGAAAACGTTGTAGCTTATGTGTGTAAAATAGTACTACGTAAAAAAAAAACACGTTTATTTTTGTGAAGCGATAATATGTTTTGTGGTTACTGTACTAGTATCTAGAAAAAAAGAAGCAAAAACTAAAGAAGCCAACAGTCGTGGACTAATGCAACATGTCGCCGCCACGCAATCCCAACATGGTCAATTTTGACACACAAAAAATTGTGAAAAACACACACACACAAAAGGAAAACTGTCTATATCACTGCTTGGGACCAGGAAGAAGGTTGCTTTGTACCAAATCCCATTTAAGTTGGTTGACATACACACGAATAGTTCACAAACCCCAAAATTGTGCTTTTCTCATTGAACAATTGAGCAAAAGACAAAAATTCTAAAACTGTCTATATCTCTGTCTGGGGCTTGCAAAGAGTATCTTTTTACCAAATTCCGCGTAAATTGGTCGAAACAAGGCTAAGTAATTTATAAAAGCCCCCCCTCCCTAAAGTTATGGGTTTATTTACCCTTTTGACCCCTCATAAAATGACCAAAAATGGGCATATCCTACATTTTGGGACATGTAAGAAAAAGTAT